GAAGGTCCTACAATGCAGTGTGTGGATGCTCCTGGCACACGGTGGGCACCTGGAGAGCCCCAGCTCCCTCCTCGGAATCCCTTCCTTGTTTCACTGAAAGGAAACCGAGGACCAAGTGATTAGGCAGCTGATTCAGGATTGCCGGCCAGTCGTAGCAGAATGGAGACTGGGTCCAGCTTTGGACAGTGGGAGCAGAGCACTGGCCCCAAATATCCTGTCCTCCTCCCTGGGACCTATGGCTGTGACCTGATGTGGAAAATTGGGGCCATGTGTGCGGCTGCCCTAGGACACGATCACACTGTCCCCCAGGTCCTGCTATCCTCGACAGACCCTGCTTATTGAAGCGCAACACTCCAAGACCTCTGCTGTAACCTCCTTTAAAGAGGTTGAGCTAACACGGATCTTTCAAGGAAATCACGTGCAGGTTTTATCTGTTTGGAAAAGAGACACCTGCCCTTCCTGGAACAAAACAACTGAATTAACCCCAAGGGCTGCTAGTTGGAAATGAAGCAGTTCTTACAAGGTCCTCCTTTCATCATTCTGCCTGGATCCATCGCCACATGAAGAAGTAGTAACTCTGTCACACAGGTTTCCTCAAAGATCTTTCCCAGAGGCAGGAATGGGAAGCCTTTTTTTAATGCAAGTGTTGGAGTCTAAGGAAAACAGAGGCCCCTGAAAACTGGGAATGTGTTTGCTAAGATCCCAGATGCAACAAATTTTGAAGGAATAGGTGAACATTGAAATCTGAAAAGCAGAGGCTCAGGTGTGGTTATTTGCATCACAAAAGGTTTCTCCTCTCCTACGTCACCTTCACTGCCTTAAATAGGAGCCTGTCTCCTGTCCCTCCCTCAGCCAGGTGTGGGAGATCTCCCAGACCTGGGTGGGGGTGAGGACTCTGGCGTGGCCGCTGGGCTCCACCAAGTGCTGTCCCACAGGAAAATGTGGTCGGACCTTCTGGCTTTTCAAGGGAGGCCAGGAGTTGAGATTTTAGGTGAATCTCCCAACACCCTGCACTGGTAGACAGCTGTGGGGAACATCTCACAGTCTCACCTGAGCAGATGTGCAGTCCTGGGCCTTTCTCTGGGACCCGTCCAGGACAGGGCTGCTTGCTGGGAGGACAAGAAGCTTAGTCTTGTGCTGTGGCTTGTGGAGCAGAATTCCTCCAGAGTCTGAGCTCAGGACAGAGTTAGGCAGGAGATGTGGACGGTACCTTGGGACAGTTGACCCACAGGCCTGGGTCGGCTCTCCTGAGAGCCGCTGCAGGGTGAGAGGGGTAGGGATCAGACCATGGGGACCCCACAGCAAAGATCGCAGCCACCAAACGTTGTGCAAAAGAAGGACCTGGGTGCTTAAAAAGTATTAGGATGCATCGGGCAGAGATCCTGTGCCCAGTGGCAGCAGATGCTGGGAGAATGAATGGACAATGTACCAGGGCAGCTGGAGGTGGGAGCAGGAAGCAGGAGAGAATGCCTGAGTGGATCAGTAGGTCAGTAATGCTGGATGGGCGGAGTTGCCAGGAGCCCTGCTGGCTTGGTAAGGGAGCCCCAGGGAT